GTTATTGGTTTCTAAATTATTCATGTCTAATTACATACCATCTTTCCCCTGAGAAGAAACGACCAAATTAGAATTCGAATTTGGGAGAGGGCTGCCAAAAATGAAGCATGCCTGCTGCGATTTCTCTTCTTTTTCTTTTAAAAAATCTGTTTTTATTGATTTGAGAAAGAGAGAGAAAGAGAGAGAGAGAGAGAGAGAGAGAGAGAGAGAGAGAGAGAGAGATGAAGTGAGAGGGAGAGAGAGGAACATTGATGTGAGAGAAGAATATCGATCAGCTGCCTCTTGCCTGCCCTCTACTAGGGATGGAGCCCACAAACTGGGCATGTGCCCTGACTGGAAATTGAGAGGAAGACCTTTTGGTGCATCGGACAACGTTCAGCCAACTGAGCCACACCGGCGAGGGCCCTGCTGTGATTTCTGTGTTGTGTTTGCATGGTAGACATAGCAGTTGATTTCAGCTTTGTCTCCCAGTGGTGGTTTAGCCACTCACTCAACCAGGTGGGTCCCAATGTGAAATCACTGCCCTCCCTGATCTAGGAGGAAATAGCAAGCTTTGAAAGGACTGGCCATCCAAATACAAACTTGTGAAGTGGGAGTTTGCCATGCCTTGCAGAATTATTTCAACTTCAATCTTCCGTACTGCAGCCTCGCTTCTCCTGCTCATTCCTTTGTACTCTTTGAACTGCTACATCAGTGTAGTTTTTCTGGAGAGGAAGCCACTGGCAATAAACACACCGGAGTTTGAGAATTGCTATACCAGAATGCCCCTGATATTCTTCTGAATGTCATTGGGTTAATGCTACAAAGATTCTTGCCTTACTATACTCAGATTTAATTGAATGTTTAGAACCATAGCCTTACAAGTGTAATTTGCATATTTTTTCCTGTAGATACTTTTCTTACAAGGACAGCATAGTTAAGTTGCTCATTAACTAGTCCTGGAAAGAACTCCTATTGCATCTTCACAGCTTGTGTTCACTGTAAAGTTCAGCAACTCTTACTGTGCCTTCCCCGGTGCACGGTATAAAGACATCACATTAGCAGTTGTCTAATCTATGCAGAGTCCATCCAGACCTGTTCTGGTTTCCTGTCCTCAAGCCACTGGCTAACAACACGCTTCCCCATCTCACTGGAGCAAGAGTGTCAATATCCTTTACCCAGGACTTAACAGAAGCAATTTGAAACCAGAAAATAGTGCAAGAATCATGATGTGATTTGGAATTGAAAAATTTGGTTGCTTTCATCAGTAAGTCAGAACTTTCCCGTGCCTTTGCTATCCAACAGGCATGATTTGGAAACCTTTTCTACTTCCTCACAATGTGAACTTGGATAAGTTTTTGACCTTGGACAATTTTGCAACTTTGGACAAGTTATGTAACCTCTTTGGGCCAAATGTGCGCATTTGGGAAGTTGGGGATACGAACCCTACTTCCTTTGCAGGGTTTGGTGGGATTAAAGGTAAAGAATTTCATTCTATCTGACCATCACAGTTATTGTCATGGACACCTAATTTTTGATGTATTAATGAGGATGCAGGAAGGCCTTTTTAGCCATAGGCAGTACATCAGATATAGTCTTATGTAACTTATTCAGATATTTTATTTCCTCTTCCTCTCAAGTAGCAGTATGTAAAGTTCTCTCTTTACATACTGCTACTTGAGAGGAAGAGGAAATATACCGTATTCTCATTTTGGCTCCTGCTTTTGGAAAGCATTAACGACAGCATTAACTATTTTAGCGGGTTGGCATGTCATTTGAAGGTGGCATTACCATAGGTTCCTCAAATGATTTGCTGTTTAATTTGCCTCTCTGCACCTGTGACTTTTTCTGAGGGATGTTGTGTTCTTTTGATTCCCCCTACTGCGGTGTGAAAGCACACAGAGCTATAAAACAAGTTAACATGCCAGAAAATCAGACCTTGTGAAGTGTAAGGATTTTTTTAAAGTGTTTCCTTTGAGCTACAGAAAGATAAGATACAAGAGACAAAGCCTTCAGGTTTTTTGCTAACTCAGAACACTTTGTGGACCCTGAATGACTTGGTTCTTTTCCTTTAAATCATTCATTGGTGGGAACAATACAGTCAGTATATTCTGTATCTAAGTACAATGGCCTCTTTTCTGTGAACATTTTCCTTCTTGTTTTTGGTGTCTCCCATCCTACACAGAAGCTGAAAAGAGGAGCAGGTGGCCTCTTCTCCTCACTGTTGAACTTTGAGTTCCATACTTAAGTTTTGAGACTTAATCTCTGTATCTGTGTGTGGGCTTTATAGCAGTTGGGAGATCAAATGAGATGCTGCTACATCAGTAACTTAGTTGAGCTTCCAGCACATATTGTCTTAGCTGTTATCTTTATTTTATCCTAGAGGCCCAGTGCATGGAATTCATGTGCGGGTACGGTCCCTAGGCCTGGCCTGCAATCAGGGCCATCTTCCCCAGCTGCCCACAGCCAGCCCCACCCCCCGCTGCCACCCACCCTCAGTTCCCCATTTGCCATCAGGTGATCGGTGCCTGACGACAGGAGGAAAGGACTGAGGGGTCAGCTGTTTCCTCCCACTTGCCTGCCCTGCCCCCACCACAAGTGGCCATCAGGTGATCAGAGCCTGCTGGCCGGGGAAAGGGACCAAGAGGTGGTCAGTGCACCTCATAGTGACTTGGTCCAGTGGTCATTCTGGTCATTCTGCCTTTAGGGTCAATTTGCATATTACCCTTTTATTTTATAGGAAGGATGTGTTTTTGTACCTACAGGAAGGAAGTCCAAACTCCCTCTGACCTCCTCCCCTCTTCCCGCTTATCCCCTCCCCCGTCTCACCCTCAGCAGTACATTCATCCTGGACAGCACCTTTCCCTTCTATGTATAGCACAAACCAGCTTCTCTATCCTACAGTCTCTGGAAAACTTGCAGGTGGACCTCAAACAACCATTTAACCAGACAAAGCACCTTCCTCCGACTCATCCACATCCTTCTGAAATAACCCCTCCTTGCACTCAGTGACTACCTGCTTCTCTCTCCTGAAAGCATTTTATTCGGGCCCAGATATTGGGACTCTTAGACTGTCAGAGAGATCCCTGAAAAATAATGCCTTTTCCAACCGGCAAAACTGGTGTGGTGTTCGAAGTCAGGACAGTGGTGTCCTTTGGGAACAGTGTGGTCCCACATGTGTTCATTGTAAGAAAGTAAGGAAGCCAGCCAAGGTTTCTGTGTTTTTCTGTCAGTCTGTAATATATCCATTAATGCAAATGTCTCTTAATTTTTAAGGGAACTGCTCTTTCTGCAGATATCATAATTCACATATATATTTTACAACTACAGTCACATGCTGCATAACATGTTTCAGGTGGACCGTGTAGGGGTCCTCAAACTTTTTAAAGTGGGGGCCAGATCACGGTCCCTCAGAGAGCTGGAGGGCCGGACTATATGAACTACTAATTCCTACTGTAACACCTCGGCTGCGCTCACTGCCCAAAAAACCTGGCGGGCCGGATCAGACTCCTCTGCGGGCCGCATGTGGCCCATGGGCCATAGTTCAAAGACGCCTGGTGTATAGGGTGGTGGTCTCATAAGATTATAATGGAGGTGGATTCATTTTGCCCAGGGAGGTGGTAACCATTCTAATATTTTAGGAAAGTTACTGTTTTGTGCCTTCTCAGTGTGTTAGCAATCTCTACAAATGCCTCAGGGCACTGCCTTGGGCCCAGTGAGCTTCCCATTGACACCCCTCTTCCTAAACCAGGGTTATAACCGAACTGACTCACCCTGTGGTTTTTACATTATAAGACACCCTTTGGCAATAACCATTAGGAAACGTGGAGAAAAAAGTGTCTTACTTGAGCCCACAAGAGACTCCAAGGGGTACCAGTCAGGTGGAGGTTAGAGAGAGTAATTGAGCTTGAGGTTCTGCTTTTATTGGGGTAGGAGGATGGGGTCGGGGTTTCATAGGCTCCCTCATTATTGGTCAATTTAAAATGTAACAGCAGAGTTAAAGCTCAGGAAGAGAGGAACAAGTATTTCAAATGGTCAGTTATCTAAATCAACCAAGATCTCTAAAACCAAGAGGCGGCCTTGTTATATCTGGTCCTGTGGCCTGTGGCTGCAATGTGTTGATCCGAGATAGTCTCTCTTGAAGGGATGCCTCTCTGAAGTGGAGATCTGGGCCAGCCCATCAAAGCTTAAATCTGACAGTTGCATGCCAAAAAGACAAGCCAGCTGTCAGGGATTACACCACAGACACTCCTGCTTGTGGTGGTACTGGTGCAAACACACGTACTATGTTGCCAGCTTTATGAAAGTACAGTGCGCACAATTACAGTCCAGTCCACGTGGCCTCGGTTTGTGTAAGTGCACTCTGTGACATGGCAAATGACGCATTTCTCAGAACATGTCCCTGTTGTTAAGTGGACTTGATATCCACATACATGTTTTCAAAGGGTCATATTTCATTTTTAGTTGAGGATGCGTTTCATGAAAGTAAATGAGGAAGCATTTCTAAACCTTTAAGGTGATGTGGGTTAAAGTCTATAAGCTCTTGGGTCATACATGTATGTATATGGACTCTAGTTGTTCCACTTGTTCTTGTGTTCTGGTAAAAACGAAAATGTAAACCTGTTGCTATCCCTTTCACCCTACAGTTTTAATTCTTATAGTTTGAAAACTGTACTTTCTTGCTTCTTTATCTTTCTCTATATTGTCAATTAGCAGATATTTACCTGAATGGATAACAGATAATTCATAAGTACACGATTTTAAAACTCATACTATTAGATGTACATGGTGTGCAATTTTTATTGGCATTATATGCACATGCTTGCTTCTGCTTTGGTATGACCTGTAAACTTTAGTCTGAATAGCAGTCAGAAATTATCTGGGAAGTAGGAAAGAATACTTTTTTTCAATAGAGAATAAGAAATGAAAAATAGCTGCCTTCAATTTTAGATTTGTTTTTTTTTCCTTATAAGCAGCTCATTACTTGAAGAAAGAACTTTAATTTACTTATTTTCTCCTAGATTGGAAAGAAGGCTAATGGAGAAAAATAACACAAATCAGGTAAATGTATTTTAAATTTCTTTATGTACCTTGATGCTTGGTTTATATTTCCCATGTTTTCCTACTACAAAGAACTGAATAATTTTTTTGATGCTTGCAATCCTTTCAATTTAGAAACTCGTGTTCTTCAATTTGGGAAATTTTCTTGTAATATTTAAAAAATAATTATATTTCCATCTTATTCACTCTTTTCTACAAGTCTGTCTGTTGTATATTCGGACCTACTGATTTAACTCTCTAATTTTTTAATGTCTTTTTCTTAGCTATTTTTCATCTCTGCATTTTTTGGGGTGTGTGTGTGTGTGTATATGTATTATTAATCCTCCCCTGAGGGTATTTTTCCATTGATTTTTAGGGAGAGTGGAAGAAAGAGAGAAACATCAATGTAAGGCAGAAAAAACCACATTGATTGGTTGCCTCCTGCACCCAGGGCCCAGGTTGGGGAGGAGCCTGCTACCATGTACATACCTTTGACAGGAATCAAACCCAGCATGCTTTGGTCCTCAGGCTGACACTTTCCACTGAGCTAAACTGGCAAGGGCCATCTCTGCATTTAATAGTTTGTGAGAGGTTTCCTTAGAATTTATTGAACTTGTAATTTCTGCTAGGATTTTTAAAATTTGTCTCTGAATATTTTCTTTTTAAAAAATAGGACTATTCTTAGAGTATTATTGCTATAAGCACAATTGTGGCCACGTCTTTTTGGAACAGATTCAACTTAATGCTATGCATGGCCAATAGAATGCTCCTAGATTTTTTACCCAGTTTATGGTTTATACACCGTTTTCTTTACCAACCATGTTAGCTTCCCTGGACAATATTTTGAGTAAATGACTAAAATCGAAGTAAAAAAAAAAAATACAACTTTTTATTTCATGGATGCAATAGTTTCTCTTTTCCTTGGAGAATCTGAATTGAATTATTTTGCTGTCTTCTTGTGCTCTTTGAATTTTTTCCGTTGTGTTTCCTCTTCCTACCAGCTTGTTTTGGTCCCTGATTTTAATGGAAGAAGATTTCTCAAATGAATGGTGAAGATTTAGTTTTCTTTTTATATTTAGAAATTGATTACCTAGTGGGCTTCCCTGTAAAGGTTTTGGGGCAGGGACCTGGCCATTTGAGTTGGTGACTCCTAGATCTCAGAATCTTCAGGTCTTTTTTTCTTAGATCTTTCAGTTTCTCCAAAAGACTAAAATCCTGCCTGTGGGGATTTGGGCAGAGCCAGAAGAGGGAAAGGAGCCAAAGGTCTCCTCATCCCAGCCTGCTAATGCTGAGCTCTAATGTCTCCCTCTCAGCCTTATCTGACATCTCTGAATCTGAAGTCTTGCTATATCATTTTCTCCAGAGTAAACTGCCTCCTGTTAGGGGAGTAGAGATGGCTTATCTGGCTCTACAAGGTGCGGAGAAGATCGGATTCTAACTGATCCCCCACCCCCCTTTTATTGTTTATAACAACACAAATTTATTATCTTGCTCTCTATAGGTCAAAAGTCTGACATGGGTCTCACTGGGCTAAAATCAGGGTGTCAATGGGGCTGTATTTCTTCCTTGATGGTCTAGAGGAGGAATTCTCCCCTTGATTTGCCCAGCTTCTAGAGAAGCTGGCTGCACTCTTTGCTTCTCGGTCCCCTTCCTCTCTTTTAGAGGAACAATAGCAGGTCAACTACATCTCATGCTGCATTACTCTGACCTCATCTTCTGTCTCCTTTTACTTTTAAGGACTCTATGATTACATTGCACCCACCTAGACAATCCAGTATAATCTCCCTATTTGTTTTTATTGTGGTAAAAACATACACAATATAAAATTTACCATCTTGACCATTTTTAAGTGTATATAGCACAGTAGTGTTAACTATATTCGAATTGTGTGCAACAAATCTTTAGAACTTTTTCATCTTGCAAAACTGAAACTCTACATCCTCTTCACAACTCTTCTTTCCCTCCTGCTCTCAGATTCTGTCAACCACCATTCGACTTTCTATTTCAAAGAATTAGACCACTTCAGACAACTTATCTAAGTGGATCTTAAAGTATTTGTGCTTTTGTGACTAGCTTGTTTTACTTAGTGTAAGTTGCTTCTACCTCCTGGCTGTTTTGAATAAAGAAAGCTGCAGTGAACATGGGTGTGCAAATACCTCTTGGAGATCTTGCTTCCAATTTTGGGTGTTGATATCCAGAAGTGGAATTGCTAGATCTTAGGGTAGTTCTTTGTTTCTTTTCTTTTCTTTTCTTTTTTCTTTTCTCTTTTCTTTTCTTTTCTTTTCTTTTTCTTTTCTCTTCTTTCTTTCTTTTCTTTTCTTTTCTTTTCTTTTCTTTTCTTTTCTTTTCTTTTCTTTCTTTTCTTTTCTTTTCTTTTCTTTTCTTTTCTTTTCTTTTCTTTTCTTTTCTTTTCTTTTCTTTTCTTTTCTTTTCTGTCTTTTTTCTTTTCTTTTCTTTTTTCCCCCCCATAGTGGCTACATTTTCACCAATTGTACACAAGGGTTTCCTTTTTTTCACATCCTCGCCAACACTTGTTATTTTCTCTCTTTTTTTTGTTTTGTTTTTATAGTGGCCATCCTCATAGGTGTGAGGTGACACATTATTTGGTTTTGATTTTCATTTCCCTGTTGATTATGATGTTTAGCATCCTTTCATGTACTTATTGACCATCTGTACTAGTATGTTACTTTCCCAAATGTCATTTAATTATTCAAAATAAACTGAAATTTTTGTTTTTAATATGAGACTTAGTGACACTCTATTTCCTGAGACACTTTTTTGGAGGGAACCCCTTGATTTATCGTTAGGGATATATTCTATATGTCGGTATTATCAGATGATGTTCTTTTATCTAATTCTATTTTACTCTTAAGCTTTAATGAATACTTATAAACTAATAAAATGTCAAGAGAGTCCTGTGTTCTTTTTAGTTACTTGGGACAGTGGCTTTCTTTGTGATTGTATTGATTATTTACAGTGGGTGGGAACTTTTTTCTGTCAAGGGTGCATTTGGGAATTTATGACATCATTCATGGGTCATACAAAATTATCAACTTAAAAATTAGCCTGTTACAGTTGGTTAAACATTTAATTAACTCACCCCTAATGCCGTGGAGGGCCAGACCAAACAATTTCATAGGTCTATGCGGCCAGCTGGCTAGACATTCCACACCTCTAACTTACAGTGTATTACTATTTCTGACCTGTAGGATAAAGAATTATTAAGCGAGGGTTGCCTGGTTGGACTAGGCCCTTAGGGACTATCAAAAATGATTTTGTTTATTTGTTTTGTTGTTGTTCCAAGAATCATTTTCTCTAATGACTGTTAATTGGCCCAAGATATCAGCTATTCAGTTTGGTACATAGAATTCCCTACGATTCTTATTCTGAGGTTTTGAGATGGGCTTCAAAGAGTGCAAGATCTTCTTGAATAGTAGAATAGGTTTAACTTTCATCAGGTACTCCGTGATGTATGGTTTATATGATCCTGAACAGGATCGAGAACTCACCTCTAAAAGGTCATTTAGAAGAAAAAGTAGAATGTTACCTATTAAATTAAACATGATAAAAATAAAATGCTACCTTGCTGGCTACCATTAGATTCCACATTCTTTCACATGTAAGTACAAATAAGTATAAATGAGGGACTAAGTGAACAATTACCTTTTTGTTCTTTGTCACATGCAAAACATTATCTCTAGCTTCCTGGTTATGCAACATGTAACTATAAAAGGTATCATTTATGAGGACAATGTTTGGGTCTTAGAGAAATGACCATCTTTTTTATCAGTCAACTTGTAAAGAAGGTATCTTAGTAGTTAAGTTACTCTTGTTTTCTTATTGAAGATGCTGTACTTAATTTGTGAAAATCAGTTACTTGTTGACAGTTAACGTTAGTATGTAAATATGTAAAACAAGCACCTCTATGTGATAGAGGGTTATAGACTTTAGTTTTTAATTAAGAAAAGGTGGGGTAAGGTTTATATTATATCTATAAAAAAAGCTGAAGGAAGGAAGAGAGGAAGGAAAACACATGGGAGTGGGAGGTGGGGAGGTCAGTTGTGAATTTTTTGTTTCCAATCTAATACTTCTATGTATAGTGAGGTCTATTGGATTTATAAGGTCTGTTTCAGCTTTAGAATTTTATGATTCAATTTTTGAAGTGGTTAAACAAAAATTGCCCTTTTCTTCTAGGTACACCATTGAGTTCTTTGGGAGGCACAGAAGTGTCTGGTTGGGAAGCTTATGAAATAGAAGACAAAACCCTGCCTCAGGAAGCGTACATGAGAACAATTTTAAAGGAAACTACTGATAAATGCAGAACAGTAGCTGTTGGAGGTATGTAACAACTTAGAGCTTGGATTGAATGTAGTGTGACCCACTCTGCTGTACTAAGTCAAGTCCAGCCATTCTCTGGGCATTACCCAGCCTGTGGTCTCAAATACACTAGTTGCTATTGTTCTCTCAACTTGACTGCGTACTGAGATGTGACTCAATGCTTCCTTGAGCAGCTCTGACTGAGCTGTTTCCAGTCCTTCCTATGCCTGACAGACAATAAAGGCGATAGAGGCGACATTGGACTCTGAGCAGATGAAAGTGATAACGGGTTTCTGGCCAGGACCTCACTGCCTTCTTTTCTGGGAATGGGCAGTCCGTATCAAAGCTCAGTGAATGTGAGTCAGCTGTTATTCTGAAATCAGCTGTTATTTAATGGCTTTACTCTTATCTTGGAGGATGTTCTCTTCTGTAGGTATGTATCATGTCATTCTGCAGAAGAGGAGGACCTGTTTTTATTTGTTGTTGTTGTTTGTTTTTAATCTGTTTTAGTAGGAGCTTCTAATAGATGAGGTGGGAAGATGTTTAGAGCCAACATACTAGAAAAAAAAGTATTTAAAACTTAGGTACAAGTACAAACTCAACTTTTAAGTTGAATGTTTGCTATAAACAGTTGGATGAGGTAAAGAATGAGGTGGAGAATAATTGCCTGTAATATGCTTCCTGAATTGGCAGAAACCTTGATGTCTTTGAAACATTACTTATTAAATGAGATTGGTTTATACAGGAAACAATTTAAATACCTAGATGTAGGGAAGTGATATAATGAACTCTGGTACAATCTCACAATAGAGGGTTAGTAGAGATGATCTCTATGAATGAAAGTATGGGATGATTTCTAGGGGTATATTTAAAGTGAAAAACGTAAAGTACAGAAGAATATATATGCTTTGCTATCTTTTATGTGAGAAACAAGATAAAACATAATATATCTGTACCTGCTCATTTGTGCAAGAAAAAAACCATGGGATGGGTGATTGGAACAGAATGGAATGGATGGGGGAGGGAATGAAGTAGGGGGATGGAGATGGTATCTCTCTTCTGAGTATATCTTTGTATACCCCTGACTTTCAGAATTATGTTACTGTTTCTGGCTCTGTGTGTATGGGTATTTAATGTGTGTGTGTGTGTGTGTGTGTGTGTGTGTGTGTGTGTACACATTTCTATGTGTATATATGTATACATGTGTTTCTATGTGTATATATAGACATGTATGTATACACACATTTCTATTTTGGCAACATTTTAAAGTCTGAAATTATTTCAAAATAAACACAAAAATTCACACACAAAAACTAAAATGATTTGATTTTTTTTTCCTAATATTTTACTAAGTTATATAATTTTACCCTTCTAAGTAAGATTTGATTTCTGAATAATTCCTTCATTATGAGGAGGTTATTTTTTATATTTTTTATTATGTGCTATCTGCTATGGGTCCCTATGATGATGTCCTGAGAGATTCTGATGTACTTTGGTTCTTTAATGCAGTGTTATTTCATTTGATTGTGAATTAGTGAAAAGAGTTGCAATAAGTAGAGGATCCCAGTGATGCAAAAAGAAATCAGACTCAGGAAGAAATAGGTAGCATGTGCCTGTGCCCCTCAGTAACCTAAGTGAATCACATACGGTTGTCATCGTTTTATTGTTGTTTCCTGAGAATCCCATGTTAGATTAGTTTTACAGAAGGGGACCTGCTGTCCTATCTGGGCTTCTGATTTACCCCCCCGGAGCCCTTCCCGGCCCATCCCTCAGTCTGCATTGCTACATTAGAACCCAGTTTCCTGGCAACAGCAATATATCTAACATGACTTAAATAATAGACCGTTTTTAGCATATATGATGATGCTAAGCAAGTGGAATAAATGTCAATATAGATTGGTGGATGGAAATTTTGAAAATTGGTAGTGTATTTAGTGCATGGAAGGAACCAGAAACATAATATGGTAAGAATGCTGGCTGGATTAGTAGCACAATTTGTCAGATGCACACTTACATAAGACCACATTATGATTAGAAATTTTAAAATTAATATTTGAAGGGCTTGGGGTTTATTTATTATGATTTCCTTGCGTAGCTGTGTTTGGAAGTTTTAATTTTGTAAACTATGTTAGCATAGCATAGCTGCACAGTTAGCCTTGAATATGGCTGTTTGTTTTTAAAATATTGTGCTGTTTACTTTGACTCTGCATTGGTGGAAATAGTTTCTAAGGAAAATAGTTTGTAACCCATGTTATAAATAATTTTCAGGTTTTTAAATTATTTCAAAGCATTCGCTCTTTATTATTTTGGGTCAGAATTTGAGAACAGACTTTTCCTAACATTTTCTTTTTATCATCACAGTTGTATTTTTCATGTAGTGAGTGCATTTCTGAAACTAATATCTATGATATTTTTAATAATGAATAAATTTAGGTTGACAAAGAAAGTTCACTAATTTTAAAAGATCCTTAAGAAATCCTTTATAGTGAAGACCTGTGTGTGTGGAAGGGCTGGGAGGAGGGGGGCAGCGACGAGGGGGATGAAAGATATCTGTAATACTATCAACAAGAAAAAAATATATTAAAAAAAAGAAATCCTTTAGTAAAACGAGGAAAGCTTCTTTAATTTTGATAAGTCTTTTTCTCAGGTGGTTTTATTCAGGGATTTTTAATATCTAATACCAGGCCTGCAGTGGAGGGCAGTTGGGGGGAAGGGAAACCAGGTCGTCAGAGGAGGGCAGTTGGGGGTGACCAGGCCTGCAGGGAAGGGCAGTTGAGGATGACTGGGTCAACAGGGGAGGGGAGTTAAGGGTGACCGGCCAGCAAGAGAGAACAGTTGGGGACAATCGGGCAGCAGGGGAGCAGTTAGGTGACAATCAGGTTGGCAGGGTAATGGTTAGGGGGTGATCAGGCTGGCAGACAGAAGCAGTTAGGGACTGATCAGGCAGGCAGGTGAGCCGTTGGGAGCCAGCAGTCGGATTGTGAGAGGGATGTCTGACTTCCCTTTTAGACCGGATCCCACAGGGCAGTCAGGCATCCCTCGAAGGTCCCAGATTAGAGAGGGTGCAGACTGGGCTGAGGGACACATCCTCACCGCCGTACCCCTCCACCCCCACATGAATTTTATACACCGAGCTTCTAGTGTACTATAATTATTGATATGGTTAGTTTTAGATTTACCATTTTGTTTCCTAAATGTCCTATTCTTTAAATACTTTTGAATCTTTTAGCTCCTTTTCTTTCTTCTCTTTGTTTAATTGAATACATTTCAGTATCATATTTTTAATTTCTTTCTCAGATTTTTAGTTATACCACTAAACAACTTTGCATTAATATTTTTGTAGTTTCTCTGCAGAATTCAATATTCATCTTTAATAGAAAGTCTTTTTTGAATGAATGTTTTATTACATCATATAAAAATTTGAAACCTACAATATGGTTACAATTGACACTCCCCCTAACCATTGCACTGTTCTCTTCATGTATCCATATGTTATAAACTATACAGAATTATACTTATAATGCAGCATATATAAAGGATGTATATATACATATAGAATACTTGATAAAGTAGATCTAATAACTGTATCTTAAATTAAGAGAAGTCGTTCATGCTTACCTGCAGATTTGCTATTTCCAACATTCTTCATTCTTTTCTGTGGATTAGAACTTACATCCAGTATTACTTCTTTTCAGCTTGCAGAGCTTTCTTTAGCATTCATTGCAGTGTAGGTCTATTGGCAACAGACTCCATTTTCATTTGTATGACGATTCTTTATTTTCCCTTTATTATTGAAATATATTTTTGTTATATAGAGAATTCTGGGTAGACATTTTCCCCATCCTTTCAGCTCTTTAAAGATGTTTATTTTCTCTTGGCCATCTGTTTTTAACGAGATGTCTGCCATCACTCTTCTTATTGCTCTTACATGTGTATTATACCTTTTCTTCTCTAGCTATTTCTAAGATTATTTTTGTTATTATCTTTGGTTGTCATGGTTGGGTAAAGTTTTCTTGTGGGTAACTGAGTTTCCTCCTTTGATGTATTGCTATTTTTGTTCAGCTTTGGAAATTTCTAGGCTGTGTTTCTTTACATTTGTTTTTCTGCTCCATTCTCTGTACTCTTTTTTCAGCATGTAAATTAGATCACTGGATACTCCCCAAGAGGTCATTGAAGCTCTTTTTAAAACATTGTTTTTCTCTCTGTGCTTCAGCGTGGATTCTTTATATTGACATATATTGAAGTCCACCCATAAGTTTTTACTATTATGTCTAATCTGTTATTAGGCTAATCTGTTCTTTAAAAAAGTTTTATATTGTAGTTTTCAGTTTTAGAATTTCCAGTTGTTTTTTCTTTTAGTCTTTATATTTCTACTGAAATTTTGTTTTCTTTACCCATTATATCTAGCTTTCTCTGTGGATTCTTTAATATATTTATCATTTATATTTTAAAGCCTTCTAATTTCATTTTTTTGGCTTATTTGTATATGTTTCTGTGGTTTGCTTTGTCTTTGACAATGGTGTTATATTTTCTACTTGCCTTACATAGCTCTGAATTTTTAATGGAAGCTGACATTGTGGATGCTACATTGTAAAGACTTGGGATTCTGTTATGTTGGGAGTTGTGTTTTCTTCAGGCAAACAGCTAAAATAATGGCAAATAAACCTGGATATTTTGTAGGCTCATTTTTATGCTTTGTCTTTTCCATTTTGTCTATTATTTTCTAGGAAATATTCTCTAGTCAAGATAAGTGGTCTCTATTTCTTAAGCCCTGGTTTCAAAGGAAGGTCTGAGGCCTTTACCAGGCCCCAGGAACCTCACAGGTCTTGCTCAAACTCCTCTGAGATGGGCAGCTGTTGGAATAGAGCAGCTTTCTAAAAACTTTCAACTGTTGTTCCTGTGCTGCCCTCCCGCCCACACACACATCCTTGGGTCTTTATAGTTCTGAGTGTAGCCAACAAGTGTAGAATTTATTTGCAAATTTGGGAATTCACCCTCTATCATTTCCTCATTTAGGGGAT